AGAGAAAAAAGCGAAGCATGATCATAATGAATGATGAATAGTTGGTTTTAAAGCTGTATAAAAATGGATCTGTTAATGACAATACAGGTTCAAAGATGCTGCGATAAAAATTAGGTGATCGAGGAAAAGTAGAGAGCGAGAGAGTTACAAGCAATTCCCCTGATCCTAGAGGAAATGGCTAGAAAAATATAACTCCTAGAAAAAGCGCTCTTAATGTAGGAGGTGGCAAAGAAAGCAAATACTAATAACCGAAGGGTGTTAGAGACAGTGTTGAAGACGATGAAATTGATTGGGTTTTAAAAGATAATTAACCATAGCCTAGAAAGAGCAAATTCGATATTTAAGATGCTAGAGAAACAAGTCCTGATGGTGGTAGCAGTGGCTTAAAGTTCCTTTAGGATGACGATATCCCGACTACACTTGCCAAGAAGAACCCTTAAATAGACAGGTCATAAAAGATGAAACATCATGACTAAACCGAGAGAGTTACCTAAAAGAGATTAGAAACCAATTTATCTGAAGAACAAGAGGGCCCTACAGCAAGATTCAATCATAAATAGCATGATGAAGAAAGAAAAAACCAAGATATGAACAATGATAGCGATCTAATAGCAAAGAATCTTAATTTTGATTAGACTAAAGGTAGTGAAATAGAAAGTGAAATCAAGGACCTTGGTTCGGATAAGTAAAATATTATGAATGCAGGTAAAAATCCTATGGGAGAAACACAATCTTCATTAGGAAAATTAATGAAGGAATTAGATTCTGACTCTTCAAACAAGAGAAAAAAATTGATGGAACATTAAAATAAGCATTCAAAACTTAGTAAAGAGCCAGATTATGATAGACTTTGAGCTAAAACATTAACCATATTTTATGACTTTTGTAGTTAGTTAATACTGACTATGAAAATATCAATTTTAAATTTAAGGCATACAACATACTATAAATTGCTATGACTTTATTTTAATAATGTTAGAAAAATGAATACTTTAAAATTTAAAGTACTCATCTATGATGGGGTTTTGGGGTTTTGGGGTTTTGGGG